TACTCCCACAATGCTGAAGCTGCTTCTCCTACTAGGTACCCCCTTCCCATATATACACACATCAGCATGGTAGGTTGCTCTCCCACCCATGGGCCTTCAAAGGACAGGCTAAGCCATGGAGGTGCAACTGGCTTTCCCTTAGTTATTGGGCCTCTGAAATTAGATCCTTCAAACTTTAATATCTGTTGCGAATCTTCCAGGAGGCAGGGTTTAAAGCAGATGTAATTCATTTTTCTGCAGAGCACGTCCTCTGATAGATAAAGTAAGTGATCAGTACTTATAGAACCTCAAGAGCAACTCATAGGAAATTTGACCTGATGATTCAATTCTGTGTATGGTGAAGGCCCAATGTCAGGATGTACACCTCCGGGGCTAGGCAGCTCATTACCTTTAAAGCACTTGAGAACAGCTGTGATTATTAGAAGACTGGCTGAAAACAGAGAATACCAGAAAAATGTTTACTTGTGTTTTATTGACTATGCAAAGGTATTTGACTGTGTGGATCATAACAAATTATGGATAATATTGTGAAGAATGGGAATTCCAGAACACTTAATTGTGCTCATGCAGAACATGTGCATAGACCAAGAGGTAGTCATTTGAAGAGAACAAGGGGATACTTGTGGTTTAAAATCAGGAAAGGTGTGCTTCAGGGTTGTATCTTTTCACCATACTTATTCAGTCTGTGTGCTGAACAAATAATCCGAGAAGTTGAACTGTAAGAAGAGGAATGCAGCATCAGGATTGGAGGAAGACTCATTAACAACCTGCTATGCGCAGATGACACTACCTTGCTTGCTGAAAGCTAAGGGGACTTGAAGCACTTACTGATGAAGATCAAAGACTACACTCTTCAGTATGGGTTACTCCTTAACAAAAAGAAGGCAAAAATCCTCACAACTGGACCAATAAGTAACATCATGATAAATGGACAAAAGATTGAAGTTGTCAAGGATTTTATCTTACTTGGATCCACAATCAATACCCGTGGAAGCAGCAGTCAAGAAATCAAGTGGTGTATTGCACTGGGCAAATCTGCTGCAAAAGACCTCTTTCAAGGGTTGAAAAGCAACAGTGTCACTTTGAGGACTAAGCTGTGCCTGACCCAAGCCATGGTATTTTCAATCGCCTCATATGCATGTGAAAGCTGTACAATGAATAAGGAAGATCAAAGAAAAATTGATGCCTTTGAATTATGGTGTTGGCAAAGAATATTGAATATACCATGGACTGCCAGAAGAATGAACAAGTCTGCCATGGAAGAAGTACAGCCAGAATGCTCCTTAGAAGGGAGGTTGGTGAGACTTTGTCTCACGTACTTTGAACATGTTATCAGGAGGGACCAGTCCCTGGAGAAGGACGTCATATTTGATAAAGTAGACGGTCAGCAAAAAGAGGAAGACCCTCAATGAGACGGATTGACACAGTGGCTACAACAATGGGCTCAAATATAACAACAATTGTGAGGATGGTGCAGGACCCTATGTTCTTTTGCACAGAGGGTCGCATGAGTCAGAACCGACTGGATGGCACCTAACAACAACAACAACAGGTCAAACCGAGTCTTTTGTACTTGTACAGGGCAAAACGGTGCTGCTCATCAGTGGGGAGGAGCTGGGGTCTGGAGTCCTGGCTAGCGGAAAAAGCGTTCCTCTGCCACATACAAAGGAAATAATAACAACCACAAAATAGACCAAGTAGCCTGACATGATTTGCAAGCTCTTCATAGCTTGGAAGACACCTGTTTATATCTCCATCATCATTGCTCATCACTCTCCTCTCTTTCTCTTTATTCTCAAGTCTTGGTTTGCTCCCCAAATTTCCCCAAATAGCCATTCTTTTCACCTCTCTTGACTCTCTTCGCACACTTCCTTTCTGGCCTAGAATGTGCATCTCACCTGCCACTTTCCCCCATTCCTCTCATCTGGTTAATTTCTGTTCTGCTTCGAGGTCTCAGCCTAAATACCACTTCTTGGGGAGGTTGTTCTTATCCCATTAAGTCCAATTTCAGTGTCCTTCTCATTTAAGAGGAAACCCTGGTGGCATAGTGGTTAAGAGCTATGGCAGCTAACCAAAACGTCGGCAGTTCGAATCCACCAAGTGCACCTTGGAAGCCCCATAGGGCAGTTCTACCCTGTTCTATAGGGTGACTATTTGGTTTGTTTTTTTCTCATTTAAGAGGCTATTTACTTGTCTGTTCCTCCAAAGCAGCCATAAACTCCCTCAAGGTAGTAACTCTCCTTTTCACCTTTGTATTATCAGGGCCCACAATGCCTGGAACAGAGCCATTATTCAATACATAATTGCTTCGAAAAAGTCTAATGGACTTGCCAGAGGGTTATGGATTTCATTAGTTAGAATAGTTTGTGCTTTAAGCAACAGAAGATCCAAACAACAATGGCTTGATTAAGTGCCATATTTTTACACAATATTGCTTGTGTTATATGTTTTTTTGCCAACCACACCCTCCCTCCCACCAGGTACTTTCTGAAGCACACTTTGGTAATTTTTCTTACAGCAACATGTAAAAAAAAATTAGCATAGTGTGCTTATGAAAACACCTGTGGTAAGAGGTCCAGGTTGGCGAAAAAAATGTATAACTCGCATGTTAAGTATTTATTTAACAAGCTAGGTAGTCCCTAGGAGCACTGGTGGTGCAATGTTTAAGTGCCCGGCTGCTAACTAAAAGGTCAGTGGTTCGAAACCATCAGCAGCTTTGCAGGAGAGAAGACCTGGCAATCTGCTCTCATTAAGCTTTCAGCCTAGGAAACCCTATGGGACGGTTCTACTCTGTCCTATAGGGTCGCTATGAGTGGGAATTGACTCGATGGTACACAACAACAACAAGGCAGTTCCAGGCTGGTTCAGTGGCTCAGTGGTATCATAAAGATCTAAGTTCTCTTGTCCTTTTCTTCCCCATCATCAGCATGGTGATGGCCATCCTCTCATGTTCATTAGATGGCCGCCATACCCCAAGCATTGCGTCCTCACATAGCACTTTCAAAGGAAGAAAGGAAGGAAAGGAGAGGAAAAAACTTCCTCTCTCTCTTTCATCAATAGGATAATCTTTCCCAGATGACCCCTGTCCCCAGCTGCCTTTCCCTTACATTTCCTTGTTCAGAACTGAGTCACATGTCCGCTTTCAGACAAATCAATTCATCTCTGGTGCTTGTACCTGAGGTCATGTTGCCCAGACAAAGCTGGTGTGCTTTTAGCAAGAAATAGGACTAGACACCTGATGGGTAAGAAGTTAATGATAACTACCACTCATGTATTTAATTAGGTTTTACTAAAGTCCAGGTGATTCAGTGGTTAAGTGTTCTGCTACTAACTAAAAGGTCGACAGTTCCAATCCACCACCCGGTCGTTGGAAACCCTATGGGGCACTTCTACTCTGTCCTATAGGGTCAGTATGAGTCAGAATCGACTCGATGGCAAAGGGGTTTAAAATCCGGGACTCCTTCCTCCAAATCTGAGCTTACCTTACACTGGAACAATATAAAGTGTAACATTTGTTAAGACATATTATTCGTCATTATGGGCAATTAACTAGCCTCTCTGGCATGCAAATTTGTAACTGTCTGTTTGTTCTCAGCAGTCACTCCCTCCTGGGCCAGAGAGCACTTGGACTGCTCTTGAACTTTAAGGTGGACACTGGTGTCCTCTCAAGACAACTGATGACCATCTCCGGCACTGGAAATGGTCAAGTATCATCCTCTATGAGTCTTCATGATTACTAAATTTTCTTCCATAACCAAAGTTGCAAGGATCTTGTTCAGTGGATTGGATGCAATAAAATGATGACATTTTTTATCATGAACAAATTTGCCAATCCCTGAATGATCACAGCCTACCTATTTTATTGATGAAAATATCAAAGTAGTGATGTTATACAGTTGTGGAAATTTGGGTTATATATCCCCCATACTCAGCCTTTCTAGCTCCTCTTCCCTCCATGTACTTTACTTATTTGAAAACTCTTTATAAACTATAAAGGGAAAAGGAAGGGAATTATATTATTATGTATTATAGTTTACCTTATAGAGGCCTCTCTCTTCTTGATTGTTGTCACGTGCCATCGAGTTGGTTTCGACTCATAGCGACCCTATAGGACAGAGTAGAACTGCCTCATAGGGTTTCCAAGGAGTGGCTGGTAGATTTGAACTGCTGACCTTTTGATTAGCAGCTGAGCTCTTAACCACTGTCCACCAGGGCTCTCTCTTCTTAATTAGGGTTATGATTATTAGCTAGCCCTCACTGAGTGTGATGGGTGTTATAGCTGGCCTTCTAAAAATATCCCCTTATCCTCAACATCATCCCTATCTTGTAATTGCCATTTTGTACATTAAAAACCTAAATTCGGATGTTAGGTGATTTGTCCAGGGTCACCCAGGTTTTGATCAGTACAGCAGTGATTAGAACTCTGATTTGTCTAAATCCAAAATGATTCCTACACTGACCATCATGAGCCAACCTCTCTTTCTTCTAATCCTCACTGCCACCCCCAATATTCTCATTACTTTTCTAAAGTCCCTGAGGGTTTTACCAACCTCTCACTGGTTAATCCTTTCAACTTTTATTATTATTATTATTATTAAAAGCAAAGTGGCTATTCCCATTCATTGGCTGATACATTTATGGATAAAACATGAACTCTTTCTAGTTCATCAACTTATCTGGTCATCATTGCTAAAGTCTACAGACATTCACATCTAGCTCAACAAATAAACACCAGGAAGGAAAAAACCAAAGCCAAACAAAAAACCCACCACAGGCAGTTAGATCAATGAACTGCAGTGCTGTGGCTGAGGAGAGCATTTCCTCCTTCTCCTTTGTTAATCTAATAAGCAAGGTGTGTGCTAAGAGATTTTTAAAGCACCTGCAAGCAGCAAGGACAACAAGCAGTGACTATTCTGAGTTCACAGAAGCCCAGGTGACTTTGACATTTCCCCCAGGAGCTAGCCAGGAGAGACCCCAGCAAATCAGGATCTCCGGGTTAGATGGAGGTGGACTGTAAGAAGGGCCAGCGGGCTGTACTCAACCCAGGAGAGGAGAATGAACTGGTGAGTCTGCCCTCCTTTTTATTACAGTCTTCTCAGAGTGCCCAGGCTGTGGGCAGGGGCTACAGTCTTCAGCCAATTTATAAGGTAGGCTGTGACACTGATAGTGTTGGCTTTAGGGTCCAGAAAATTTTAAGTTTGATAAGGCTCCTTGTAAGACACCAAAGCACACTTTTTATTGCAGAGGAATCCGCAAGAGTTTACAAATTTGTGGCTCTTGGATGGTAAAGTTCTTGCAGACTTCTTGAAGCTTCCTTTGCAGACATTTTGCTAGCTAAAATCATGCTTTTTACTAAGAATATAGAGAGGTTTTAAGCACCAAGTCCCCAAGAACAAATAGAGTGTGGTCTGAGATTTTAGTATATAAACAATAGTTCTCACGTCTCCAATTATTTTTCCCCACTGTTCCTTCCATCAAGCATGAATAAACCTTGAACAAACAATCATTAAAAGCTTGAAAACTCCTGCAGTCTGTTTGGTGCTGGGTTTAAATTTATTATTTTATTTAATCCTCACAACTCAGTGATAAAAGAACTAATCCTATTTCATAGAAGAGAAATCTGAGAGCAGGGAGGCTGAATAACTTTCCCAAGGTCATCCAGGCTGCAAGGGGCACCCAGCCCCCGTGCTCCCCTCAGCCACAAGCTCTTTAGCTCTTTACATTACAGCAGTGTCCCTAGTAATGCAATGACAAAAGGGAGGGAGGGGACAGGGGAGAGAAAGAAACAGGGAGCTGGAGGGCAGAAAGTAACACAGAGAACATGGTTTCACATATCAGAAGGGTATCAGCTCCCTGCCTGGCTGCCCAGATTTCCTATGACATCGGGGAGAAATGCATAAATGTACTCTCTTCACTTACATAAGGAAAATAAATGACTTCATCTATACCTGCTCCATCCAATAAGGTAGCCACTAGCCATCTACTTTTTTGTTGTTGTTTATTTGTTTATTTTTTGGTGCAACCATCACCACTGTCTATTTCCAAAGCTTCTTCTTTAACCCCTACGTAAATTCTGTACCCATTAAGCAGTAACTCCCCATTTCCCCCTTTCTCCAGCCCTTGGTGATCACTAGTCTATTTTCTGTCTCTAAACATTTGCCTATTCTAGATATTTCATATAGTTGGGATCATAGAATATTTGTCCTTTCGTGTCTGGCTTATTTCACTAAGCATAATGTTTTCATTGTAGTATGTATCAAGACTTCATTTTGCTTTATGGTTGAGTAATATTCCTTTGCATGTATATACCACATTTTTCTTATCTGTTTATCTGTTGATGGACATTTGGTTGTTTCTACCTTTTGGCTGTTGTGAATAATGCTGCAATGAACACGATGTACAAGTATCTATGTGAGTCTCGGCTTTTAAGCCTTTTGGGTGTATATCTAGAAGTGGAATTGCTGGTCATATGGTAATTCTGTTTGACGTTTTAAGGAACTGCCAACCTATTTTCTGCAGCAGCTGCATCATTTTATGTTCCTACCAGCAATGGCCGAGGGTTCTAATTTCTCCTCATCCTTGCCAATGCTTGATATTTTCCATTTTTTTAATAATAACCATCCTAGTGGGTGTGAAGTGATATCTCATCGTGGTTTTGATTTCCATTTCCCTAATGATTAATGACTTTGAGCATGTTTTCACATGCTTACTGGCCATTTGTGTATCCTCTTTGAGGAAATGTCTATTCCGGTCTCTTTGTCATTTTTTAATTGAGTTTTTTGTGTTTTTGTTGTTGAACATGTGTGGTTTTTGAGCACCACAGAAGTAGCCAATTTGAATTGAAATGTGCTGTAAGTGTGGACTAAAAATAAAAACCAAACCCATTGCCGTCGAGTCCATTCCGACTCATAGCAACCCTATAGGAGAGAGTAGAACTGCCCCGTAGAGTTTCCAAGGAGCACCTGGTGGATTCAAACTGCCAACCTTTTCGTTAGCTCCCATAGCACTTAACCACTTCACCACCAGGGTTTCCAAGTATAGGCTACACACTGGATTTTGAAGACTTAGTATCAAAAAAATAATGTAAAATATCTCATTAATATTTTTTATATTGATTGCACACTGACTGTATTGGGCTAAATAAAATGTTGTTAAAATTAATTTCACTTATTTTTTAAAAATTTTATTGTGTTTTAGGTGTAAGTTTACAGTGCAAATTAGTTTCTCATTCAAAAATTCATAGACAAATTGTTTTGTGACATTGGTTGCAATCCCTCCAATGTGTCAGCACTCTTCCCCCTTTCCACTCCGGGTTCTCTGTATCCATTTGTCCAGTTTCCCTTTCTCTTCTTTCCTTCTTGTCTTTGCTTTTGGGCGGGTGTTGCCCATTTGGTCTCGTATACTTGATTGATCTAAGAAGCATGTTCCTCAAATGTGTTATTTGTTTTATAGGCCTGTGCAATCTTTGGCTGAAAGGTGGACTTAGAGAGTGGCTTCAGTTCTGAGTTAGGAGGGTGTTCGGGAGGCCATAGTCACAGGGATTCCTCTAGTCTCTGTCAGACCAGTAAATCTGGTCTTCTTTTGTGAATTTGAATTTTGTTCTACATTCTTCTCCCATTCTGTCTGTAACCCTCTATTGTGATTCCTGTCAGAGTGGTTGGTGGTGGTAGCTGGGCACCATCTAGTTCTTCTGGGCTCAGGCTGGTGGAGGCTGTGGTTCACGTGGTTTCTTTTTATTTTTTAAATGTGGCTACTAGGAAATTGAAAATTTCAAATGTGGCTCACATTCATGTTTTGCATTCTTAGACAGTGGTGATTTAGACAACGACACAAGTGCTTTAAAATCTTCAAACTGCGAGAGCCAGCAGATTAAAACCTAGTCACCTGTGTTCACTGCTGAACAACTCTGTGACAGTTCCAATGCTTTTTTCAGGGTGTAAAATTCAGCATGTAAACTTATCCATGGTGCCCTTGATTCTTCTGCAACTAGTGCTGTATTTGTAAAGTTTACAGCCAAGTATTTAAATTCTCTTAATCACAGAGGAAGAATGGCGTATCGCAGGATTAAATAATGCGCCAGCTTCCAGTTTCTTTTTTCCTGTGGGTGATCAAATACTTCTAGAGATATCCACCAAAAATTCTGGTTAGGAATACCTGCAACTGTGTACTTCATGTTGCCGGAGCATGCTGGGGAGGGGAGGTAGCTATTGATTTCTTCTTCACAAACTTTACTCGTGATCTTTGGGCACAGATGCAAATCCCACTCAGACTCTCAGGTAACTCTGGGAGTGCCTGATGGGAACCATGTTTACCTAAGGTCACAAGCTAAAGAGAAAGCTGCCAGTTAACTCCAGGCAATGGCTGTCCTTAAGTCGACAGACTCAGTGTTGTCAGATCTTCAAATTTTTTTTTTCCCTTTTGGTGGGGGAAGGAGGATGGTGAAAATATACACAGTCATACACTATTTCAACAATGTCTACATCTACAACTCAGTGACATTGATTACACTCTTCAAGTTGTACAACTATTCTTGCCATCCCATCCTTTTCCAAATTGTTCCACCACCAATGACTTAAACTCATTGCCCTGTAAGTGTCTCATCTAACCTTTCAAGTTGCTGTTGTCAGTTTGATTTCATACTTTAAAAGAACACAAAGTTCAAGGAAGACATACTTATTAAGATAAACTGTTTCTTGGTTCAAAGAAGACTTCAGGGGATAGTTTTGATTTTAGGTTTAAAGTTTAAGGGTTATTTCAGGGAAATGGTTTTGAGGGTTCATCTAGCCTCAGTGAATCCAGAAAGTCTGGATTCCATTGAGAATTTGAAATCCTGCTTTGCATTCTTCTCCTTTTTGATCAGGATTATTCTAGTTTTAAAGGGAAGACAGAAATCTGAATTTTTAGGCAAAGGAGTCTGATTTAAAATTTTGGAAGTGAATACTTTTTTTTTTTTTTTTTAAGCGATCAGTAGGCCAAACCAAATCTGGGTATGGGCTAGTCCTAGCCTTGGGAGGGTCACAGTCCGTTACTTCTATAGCTTCTTCCAACTTCCTCCACCTTTCTGGAAGTGTTTCCCATGGCCCAATCTGTTCTCTATTTGCATTCATTACTTTAAGTGCACAAACACTTCTCAATGTGTCGAGGGAATGTAAGGTAAAAACTATACACTGTTGGGTGAATAATAAATTCCTTCAATCAAACACTCACTAAGAACCCAAGTGGATGGAGAGGCCCTGTGAGATTATTGAAGAGCAGTCTTACATTACTTTGCTGAGCTCAGCATGAATATAAAGCATTTCACTAGCCCCTGAGAGTTGAACTCAGCTATCACTCCTGTCTCCTGTTCTCAGGCCCTAACTGCTTAGGATTGGGTGTAGCTAATATTTACTGTGGCAGGCACAGTGCTAAGCACCTGGCAAACAGTATTTCATTTCACCCTCACAACAGTCCATTTCACCCTCATTATTTGGGTGGTGGAAACCCTGCTGGCATAGTGATTAAGTGCTACGGCTTCTAATCAAAAAGTCGGCAGTTCAAGTCTGCCAGGTGCTCCTTGGAAACTCTATGGGGCAGTTCTACTCTGCCTTGTAGGGTCGCTATAAGTCAGAATTGACTAAACCACAACGTGTTTGTTTTTATTTGGGTGGTACAAATGGGTAACATGTTTGGCTGCTAACAGAAAGGCTGGAGGCTCAAGTCCACCTAGAGGTGCTTCGGAAGAAAGACCTGATGATCTGTTGTTAGGTGCACTCAAGTCAATTCTGACTCAGTAACCTTGTGCATAACAGAACGAAACGCTGTCTGGTCCTGCATCGTCCTCACAATCATGGCTGTGTTGGAGCCCACTGTTGCAGCCACTGTGATCTATTTCCAAAAATCAGCCACTGAAAACCCTATGCAGCACAGTTCTACTCTGATGCACAAGGGGTCACCATGAGTCCGAATCAACTTGACGGCCACTGGTTTTGCTTTTTTTTTCCTGCTATAGGCCTTTATGGTATTGTCTTCTCAACCAGCCTCCACCTTTCCTTACTCTCCCCACTTCTACCTAGCTCTAACAGTC